GTGCGTGCAGCTTCTACCGGTGCCGTTTCGACCCCACGAACGCGGGCGAGATGAAGCAGCTGGACTGCAAGAGATTCATGAAGATCAAAGGAGAGTGAGGGCGGCTAGAGAGATCGGAACCCTAGCTGCTGCTTCTTGTTGATCCGAGCTGAATCAGTGGACGTAATCTTCTTGTTGATTTCTTTTTGCTACCAGTTCCTTGATTGCAATTTTTTGATGGTAGCTTATCAAGCTGACCCTCTTTGCAGTAGTTTGTATCTAGGTGAACCGCGTGGTTCCTTTAATGGAAATCGGAAGGAGAGGCCATTCTTATGTTAAATAAAAAGCTTATCAAGCTGACCGCTTGGTCTTTTGTTATCAATTTCACAACAGTATTATTGATTCACTAGCTAATTAATTGGCTATGCGGTGCAAAGGGGCATACATTTTGTAATGATCCTTGTTTTTCAAAAAAAAAATCTAATGGTTCTTTCGTCAAACGCTCGATGATATTTTTCATATTTAGGACGTGTTCTGAGAGCAACTCCAACAGGCACCCAAAAAGAGCTTCGCGCACTAAAAGTTTAGTTTTTTGGACGCCGGGCAGCTCCAGCAGAAGCTGTAGCGCTAAAAGTTTTTGAGCGCGCGCTGAAAAACGTTATCGCGCGCAGCATATTTTGGGCGCCGGATTGCGCAAGCTTCACAATTTGCACTGTCTGCTTTTTGGGCGCGCGTTTTTGGCGCCTGCCAAAGCAAAGTTGGTACCGGCGCATTAAAAATATTACAGTGACGCGCTATAACGTTTATTGGGCGCGGAATTTTTGTGCGGCGGTTGGAGATGCTTTGAAGTCCTCCAAGCTTCCCAAACTCCACGGATTTAGGGCGTGGTTTGGGGCCGTTCCTACCTTTTCCTAGCCCGGCAGACTTGCTGGGCGCTAGTTTGGGCCCGCAAGAGGCAGCCCACTTCGGGCCAGCCTGTACAAAGGCCGAACTATGGCTGCCATGGCAGATCTCTCCATCGAGCTGAAAGAACGATGAGGCGAGGAGGCGGGCTCCTTTAATAGTAAAATTTATTTATTTTATGAAGTTGGTCGGGCTATTAGAGGAAAATAATAATATCATACATGCACCAAACGCAAAGAAGGCCGAGAACATAGGGCACTCGTGTTACGACCTTCTAAAAAGCCCATTAAATAGCATCGTGCATGCACCAAACGCCAAGAAGGCCGAGAACTAGGGTGCGCATATGCTACGTCTCAAAATTCCGGTGTGCACATGACGAGTGGATGATTTTTGGGTATGGGGCGAGGAGTCGAGAGGAAACTTCACAGTTAATTCGGCATATCGTATGCTGGTTCGCACCAAGTTCAACAGAGAGGGTTGGATCGAGGAGCGACGGGGATCTTCAAGTATAGAGGCAGAAGGGAAAGAATGGAAATCCTTATGGAAGCTCCAGATCCTGTTCAAAGTAAAAGTGTTCTTATGGTGTTTGGCCCGACATTCCATGCCAACGAGGGAGCTTCTGCACCGATGCAACATGGCTACCTCAGCCTCATGTAATTTGTGCGGAGTTCATGACTCTTGGCGACATGCACTCTTTGATTGCCCCATGTCTCGGAGCACCTGGGCTTTGTCTTCGTACATGATCTTGGATCATCTTAGTTCAAACAAGACAAAGTGTGCAAGGAAGTGGATCTTTGAAGCGCAAAAGGCACTATCTGATGAGGAGTTTATCAGATTGGGAGTTTCACTTTGGGCCATTTGGGGAGCCCGCCGGAAAGCTATCTATGAAGATATTCATAAAAGCCCGGATGCAATTCACAGTTTCATCAATTCCTATTTAGATGAAACAAAAGTTATGGTGCCAAACAAAGGGAGTAGAAGCAGCATAAGGGTGCGGCCAACTGGCTGGATTGCACCGCCGGAGAACTTCTCAAAGCTCAATGTAGATGCTACATTACATCGCCAAGGGCATGTTGGAGCTGTGGGGGGTTATCTGTCGTGACCGAGCGGGTGTATTTCTTGGAGCATCTGCTATGGTGTACAACAATGGTGATCCGACTACTTTGGAGGCGATGGCCATTCGTGAGGGGTTGGACCTGGCTACAGATTTGCATATCCAGCAGATACAACTCGCATCAGACTACAAGGGAGTAATTGGAGAAACTCAGAGTGGAAGTGGAGCTACTTACGGGGCAATCATCAAGGAGATCAAGCAACAACAATCTACTTTTATTTCTTGTAAGTTAGTTCACGAATTTAGGAGCTCAAATATTGAGACTCACAACTTAGCGAGGCATGCTTTAACTTTGGGACCTGACTGCCATGTTTGGTTTGGCCAGCCCGTGGGGATTCCGTTCGTCCATGTGAACATTGTGATGGTTTGAAATAAAAGTCTCGCAAGGTTATCTAAAAAAAATGCTACGTCTCGACATGTCGCCTAAAGGGGCACAACCGGTCGGCGGCCTAGTAGAAGGGTTTAGGCGGTATGTCGCTATGTTCAAGTAATTTTTTTTGGAACTCATACAATTCGTTGATTTTGGGGGAGCCCTTTTTAATTTCGAATTTTTAGTTTTTTTTCCTTTTCCTTTTCTTATTTCTTATTTTTCCTTTCTTTTTCATTTACTTTCCCATTTCTTTTTTCTTTTTTCCGTTCTTTGTCATTTAGTTTTCCATTTATTTTCTCTTGGTTTCCTTTTCCATTTATTTTATTTTTATTCTTCATTTTATGTGTTTCAATTTATTTTCTAAAAATACATAATTCTATAATATATTGCTTATAAACACATCAATACTCTGTTAGAAGGTTTGAATAGCCGGAAAGTACATGAATATTTTTGGAAAAAGCACAAATATTTTTAAACATTTAACATGTATTAAAGAAATATTCAGCGCATATTAAATAAATCATCATGTTTTTAAAAGGCGTACATTGTGCATTAAGAAAAATACTTCTATACCATTTTTTTGCGGGAGAAATACTTGTATTGCTCAATCACAATGTATTTAAAGTCTTCGTTGACAATCTCAAAAACATCATCAGGACCAGGATACACTACTTCACTACCTAACCACGTCATAGTCCGCCCATCTACTCTAGCAAAATCTAGCTCACATGTGCCTCACACACAGTACACTTGTACTGCACAAATACAGATGTAAAGCACAAGTACTCCCTCCTGTCTTTTTAACTCCCCATATTAGATTTATGCCAAGTCAAACCTTGCAAAGTTTGACCAAATTTATATTAAAAAATATCAACATCTACTATACCAAATATATCTACTACTACATTTCATAATGAATCTAACAATATTGACTTGACATTGTGAATGTTAATACTTTTTTTTATAAGTTTAGTCAAAGTAGAGATACTTTGACTTCGGACAAAACTTATATGTAGACTAAAAAGGACCGGATGGAGTACCTGAGAAAACCGGAAAGACCAGAAAATAAACCGAAGAGAA